TTTGTTATACAATAAATGTCTACAGGATACATCTACATTTCATTCATTCTATTTGTATTATTAGTTCTATCAAATAGACTTGCAGCTTTATGAACTTTATCTAATTTCTATATTTACTCCGTGGGGTAAATATAGATGATTATTAGTAAGCATGTTCTGAATGAATGCATCCCTTCATCCTTGTATTCATCAATTTCAACACAAAGACTTACAAAGAATAATAAGTCATGAAAAGAGGCTCATTTTTCTTGTTAAATAGGTATATTTAGCTGAAATTATTAAATAAAGATACATATATATGAGTGTGTGTGAATGCATTCGTAAATTAGAAAACATGTAAATACTTCCTTGAATGTTTTGTGGAATGAACCTTAGTGTTTCATACTCATAGTTTGTATGCCCACATACATGTATATAGTGGAGATATATAGTGATATAATATATATCTCTCTCTATATATAATTTATATAATATATATAAATATATAGTAAATATATATAAATTATATGTAGAAATTTATGCAGATATATTAAAAAATGAACCCAGGTATATAGATATACAGAATCCCAAGTTTTACTTAAATCTTTAGTTTCCTCATTATTAGAAGATTTTAGATATTTAATCAATTATAATTTATATATGTAAGTCTACCAATGTATCTAGAACTCTCAGTGGGTTTAATATCTTCTTGACATAAGATCTAGAAACCTCAGTCCAAGAACATGGATTTATTACTGAGTAAACTTTCTTTGACATCATATTGAAAATAGAACCAGGTGAAATTGACTCATTTAATCAGTGTTTCTAAGACCAAAAGATTTATAGATCATTTTATTTTACTTATCAGAATATTTCAGTCATGGAAATGGAGAGCAGATCTTTACAATGTGTAGAAAATGAAATGAAAGTAAATGCTAGATGTTTTATTAAAGATTCAGAATGTTTGATAACTATTTTTCCATTTTTTTAAAACTAATAGAAGAATTACACATATATAAAATAATTATATATGATTTATTACTCCATCTTAGGATATAGAACTTCTGTTGATTTTATAATAGATGCTCGATAAATATTTGAGGAAAGAATAAATGGATAAACAGATGAAGCACAAAGTTTCCCAATGAAATCAATAATAAAATTTTGAGAGACATTCCCATTAACCTCC